CTCTCTCTGCCCCTCCCCCCCTCGCGTTCTGTCTCTGTCTCTCTCAAAAATAAATAAACATTAAAAAAAAATTAAAAAAAGATAAAATGAAGCTATTTAACTATCCCAAGATGGGGGGCGGGGGGTGGAAATATCACTTGGCATAAAGGCCCCCGCAAAATATACAGGCAAAGGATTGTTGGATTATAATTCTAAGGGGACTAGCAGATGTCAAACGGCGGTAAAAGGCACATCAGTCCCCGAGACCCCCCTCTTCAGACTGTCAGAGAGTAAACTGAGATGGGGCGATCTCACCATGTGGGATTCAATTTCAGCTCTGGCCTGACGTCTTTTGTATCTCAGGGGTGTGTGCCCCGCCCTTCAGGAAACGGGGACATACACTATGACAAGGGACTGCAATGTGACTTTTGGCCGAGGCAGAGAACACCTGGGTCCTACCGACTGACCAACACACCGCACTATGTCTGGAAGGTTTCACAGCGTCGTCTGTGTAAACAGCCGAGAGGCGGTCACGTCCACAGATGGCAAAATCAAACCGGTTGGCAACATTTCCCCCCAAGGCAACTGGCTTATTATTTCTGTCTACGACTTTGTTTTGTTGCCTTAACTTCCACAATCAGAATGAGGTGGGTTCTTCCTGCTTACAAGCTCCTGAGGCTCAATGTTCTGAAGACACAACCGTCTAGAATTGTGTCCCTATGGTGGCTGATAGCTCCTTGTGGCTGTTTAAACTGACATCGAGAGTAACGACCAACAAATAAAATGAGCAATTCACTTCCTCAAACAATTCATTTCCTTCACTTTCTTGACACGTTTCAAGGGCTCTGTGGCCACACGGGGCTAGTGGCTACTGTAGTAGGCGTGGTTACAGCACAATTCCATTGTGGTGGAAAGTTCTACTGGGCGGGGCTAGCTTAGAGGACACGCGTCTTACCAATGGAGAAACTGTAATCCAGAGCCACCACCCGGCATAGCCCCGCAGCTGGCAGAGAACCCCGACGCTGGGGCCAGGACTCTGGATTCATGATCACGGCCCCGTCAGAGGACGATATTTCAAACCAGAGCTGGGAGGTCAAGGTCAAATCCAGGCACTGGCCCAGCAGCTGCAGGGCCCACATTCACACCCACTTTTTCATCAGCTGCTGCGTTCTCTGCACTCTGCTCAGGGCTCCTCCGCCTCGCCAGTCACGCCGTCTCCTACCTGGACCTGGCCAGCGGGCAGCCTGTGTTTGCTGGGTACCAGGGGTCTGCAGGGTCCTCCCCTTGCCAAGAGCTGCCGCTGACCAGCTCCAGAGGGAGGTGACTGCCAGGGTAAGAGCGCTCGCAAAGACTTACATCCGTGATGCTTTCGACAATTTCAAAGCTGCTCACATTCTCATCCCACTGGTCTCTCAGGGTCCCAGCAAGTGGCTTAACGCAGCCCCACACCTTCTCTGGCGTCCCATTCACGATGCCTTCTCCCCGGTACCTGGAGCACAAGGAGGAAGGTGATGCCGGGCATCAACCAAACCCTTTTTATCCTGGGATCGTACACAAGGACTCGGTGCCACACATCTGTCACCGCTCTTTGAGACAGCCTCGCAGATTGGGGGCTGAGGTTTACCAGCCCGCCTCCCCTCAGGCCTGCAGGAATGGACAGTGACTTTCACGAGAGAGAGTTTGCTGGAAATGGTTGAGATAAAAACAGGAAGGTTTTCTGGACGACAACTGGCCAACTGCTTCCAGGGTGCTCGGGGAGACTGGAATTATTTTAGGAAGCAAACCCACAGAGACATCCAGAACGGCGTGGCACTTCTGATGAACTTGGACAAGGCACTTACAGGTTCCCTGGAAACTCCATAGATGGCCTCCAGGAAACCGAGACTCCATTCTGTCAAAAGGCACAGAATCGCAGAATTTAGGGCTAGAAGGGCTCTGGGAGATCACCTGGCCCCTTCCCCTGGTCTGGAAGTCTGGAGCCTTGAGAGGTGGGATTCTCCAAGGTGCGTGACCCCACTCGTGTGCCAGGGCGGGGGTCCTGGCCAAAGCTGAACGAGATGGAGCTCTTGGATTCCAAGAGCTCTGGGCGGTTTTCCAACCTCTCCAAATCACCTCGCATTTTGTTTCCTCCAGCAATGTCAGTCTGCTCGTTAAAAATCATGAGCTGCGCAGGCAAAAACTATTCCCATGCCGCCCTCCCGGGAACACAGAGAGGTGCAGGCTTTGGAACCTGGTGTTTTGGCTCGACTCCAAACCACCGTGTGCTAGCCAGGTGGCCTTGGACAAGTCACACAAGGAAAGGGACAGACACTTATCTCCCGGGGTCATAGTGTGCACAACAGGCCTAGGATTTTTTTTTTTTTTTTTTTTTTTTTTTTTTAAGGAAACAACCCTCAAGGGAATCTCCTCCCAATCCAGCTCCAGGGTATTGGAATGCAGAAAGCAGCGGGAAGAGGAGGAGCCTGGGGTCTACGGAGGAGACCCCGGCCCCAGGGAGCAAAGGCCCCACGACCCCTTCCTGCCCAGCTCCTCACTCACGGCTTCCCGGCAAATTTTCCATCCTGACTTGTCTCGCCGGTACTGGAGCATCTTCTCCGCCACCGTCTCGCCCATCTGCGCGGCCAGCGCCGGGTCCATAGCGCCAAGGGCCGCGCGTGGCTGCGGGGTCGCGTCCCGGCTGAGCGGCGGCGGGCGCCGGGTCCCGGAGGCCGCAGCTCGCGGGCCCGGGCGGAACCTGGGCCCC